AACCGCGAGTCAATACATAACAAGAAACAAACATTAGCTCATAAACTCCACGTTTACTATTCGACGGTAAACAGAACAGACCGCACACGGGCACGATCAGGGGTCCATACTAATCACGTGTATGCTCCTACCAGTGTGATAAAGGCACAAACAAGAACCCGCGCGCGCGCGCGCGCGTGTGTGTGTGTGTGTGTGGTGTGTGTGTTGCGTGTGTGATGTGTCGTGGTGATGCTGTTGTGTGTGTGTGTGTGTGTGGTGTGTGTTGTGTGTAGTTGTGGCGTAGTGTGTTGTTGTGTCTAGAGTGCAGCACACCCCTGTCGCCTGCCATTCGACACCCGCATCTGCCCAAAGAAAAAATAAATAAAAAATGGTAAAAACATGATATGCCCACACAAATACACACAGCGCGCCGCCCGCACTCCGCACTCACTCACGCTTCACTCCACGCACGCACACACGCACGCACGCACACACACACACCACACACACGCGCAACACACACACACACACACGACACACACTCAAACCACACAGCACGCCCGCGCGCACACGACGCACACACAGCACACACACACACACACACTACTCACACACACACACACACACACACACACACACACACACACACACAAACACACACACACACACACACACACACACACACAACACACACACACACACACACACACACATATATATATATATATATATTATCAGGAGTAGATAATAGGGAATTCCCTATTATCTACTCCTGATATTATACATACTGTATTATACTGATGACGGCCTCTTTTATGCACAGTGTTTCAGGATGTGCACGTGATGATCTTCGTTGGCTTCGGCTTTCTAATGACGTTCCTCAAGCGTTATGGATACTCCAGCGTCGGTATCAACTTTCTCATCGGAGCTTTCGTCCTGCAGTGGGCCACACTGATGATTGGCTTCTTCGGTAGTTTGCCGACCACCGGCTACATAGACATCAACATATACACGTACGTCCATGTTTGTATATCTCGTGGTATGCATTCGACACTAGATAATATTTGCTTTGGCAGATACTAAGCGTGCGGGAAGTCAATGGTCACAACAAACCATGGATTACAGTGCGTGGGGGGAAACGGTGACGTCTTGGTGCAGTTAATCGTGGTGGGGTTGGTTGGTTGGTGGTTGGTTGTGTGTTGGTGGTTGGTTGGTTGGTGTGTGTGGTTGGTGGGGTTGGTCTTAGTCACTTGGTAAGGCATACAGGTATTTTCATAGTAAACTACTTTTAAAGATGTGCGCTATTGTATAGTTTATTGACTTCAACGAAATTACTGTTTCACCATGCTGGCATTGCGCATGCGCGTACGTGGTTGTTTACGCACAAATCTTCTATGCTACAATGTAATGCCGAGACATAGGATGTAAGTGCAACAAGACATAGGAGATTCATTTGGTTGATCGCCTAATACCGGACCCTAACACCTTCTGCCAAAGTCCAAAAATAAATAAATAAAATAATAATGCCAGCTTTCTTTCTGTCCATCGGTCTGTCCACGCGTCCATTTGTCACGCCGTTCGTTTCGTCGTTGTTGGTTGGTGTTCGTCGTTGTTCATCGGTGTTCGTCGTTGTTCGTCGTTGTTCGTCGTCGTTCGTCGGTGTTCGTCGTTGTTCGTCGTCGTTCGTCGTTGTTCGTCGTTGTTCGTCGTCCTTCGTCGTTGTTCGTCGTTGTTCGTCGTTGTTCGTCGTTGTTCGTCGTTGTTCGTCGTTGTTCGTCGGTGTTCGTCTTTGTTCGCCGTTGTTCGTCGTTGTTCGTCGTTTTTCGTCGTTGTTCGTCGTCGTTCGTCGTTGTTGGTTGGTGTTCGTCGTTGTTGGTTGGTGTTCGTCGTTGTTCGTCGTTGTTCGTCGTTGTTCGTCGTTGTTCGTCGGTGTTCGTCGTTGTTCGTCGTCGTTCGTCGTTGTTGGTTGGTGTTCGTCGGTGTTAATCGTTATTCGTCGTTGTTCGTTGTCGTTCGTCGTTGTTCGTCGTTGTTCGTCTTGTTCGTCGGTGTTCGTCGTTGTTCGTCGTCGTTCGTCGTTGTTCGTCGGTGTTTTTGGCTCAATCGTCGCATGGTTATCTTGCAGGATGCTGAGCGCTGACTTTGCTGCTGCTGCCGTCCTGATCTCGTTCGGTGCCGTGCTGGGAAAGCTCAGTCCGCTACAACTACTCATCATGACCTTCATCGAGGTCGTACTCTTCCAGCTGAACGAGCATATCGGCAGAGAGTATCTTCACGTACGTGTATAGCCCACAGCGCTCGGGGTACAGGTACACAGGGGGACAGGAGGGTCAGGGGTTAGGGTACAGTGAAGTACGAGTATACATTGAAATAAGGGCGAGGGATGAGTAGAAAGGAATGAGCGAGGATGAGGGAAGAGGCAACGAGGAAGGTAAGATGAGGTGGGGGAAGGACGAAAACAGAAGAAAACGACAGGACGAAATTAATACTTGGGTAAAAATAACTAATACTTAATTAATAGTAGTACTTAACCATACTGTTACTTATTAGAACTACTAATATTACTACATATTAATCATCCATACTAATGCTTAAACTAATACATATTAATTAAGCGTTGGTTGATGGCGATCATTGGGGTTAATAGTTGAGAGTTATATAGGTGAAGTTAACTCGCTAGCTACTGTTTTATGTAGGCACTCGATGCTGGAGACTCGATGTTCGTTCACATGTTTGGAGCTTACTTCGGTCTAGCCGTGGCGCGAGTGACCTTCCATCGGGACGTAGAGAAATCGACGAAAGAAGAGGCTGTCTATCACTCGGATTTGTTCGCCATGGTCGGTACGTACAGACACACACGCGCGCGCGCACGCACACACGCACGCGCGCACGCACGCACACACACGCACGCACGCACGCACGCACGCACGCACGCACGCACGCACACACATACACACACACACACACACACACACACACACACAACACACACACACACACACACACACACACACACACACACACACACACACACAC